AAGGCGGAAAACTTTTCTATATTCACATACATGTGTGTATGCATCACACAGTGTTCAAAAACCAAATTATCTGCTGTGTTGCTTTCCTCATTACTAAACCAAAATTTGTGCTTGCTCAGACAGCGTGTCGATTTTGGTAAGTGATATGAAAATGAAATAAAATTACGAACATTATACATATGTACATTAAAAAGGGAAATTTTACGAAGTTTATATTTGCGAAATTTAGTAATAATGGAGCAACACAATTTTTTTCACAATTTTTTTCACATTTCTGGAAAACGCGCTAGCTGTGCTTAACTGTTTGAGGTAAGGACTCGATTTTTTAAATCTTAGCAATTTAAGTATGTGTGCGCTTGGCACACGTGCGTATTCACACGCACATAGCTATGTACAAACGGCATTATTTGATGTTAGATTCACCTTTGCTACTTGCATTGTGCAGATAATCAGTGTATAGTTGGTTGAACTGTAGCATACCGATAGCAGCAGTCAAAAGCATGCAGCTTCCTATATTGGCAGCATCAGCCATCTATAGAAACATTCACACATAAATAACTTGCATTTGCAGTTGCAAAATGGCTTCAGACATCATGGCGCCGGAAGTTCGTTCATCAACGTGTATGTGTTTGTGTTTTGAATGTTCACTTTCACCTACATACATACGTGCTTGCTAGCGGCACACAAAAAAGGTTTAAATACATAAATAAGTATGCTAACATGTAAATGCGCCTTAAAGTTGGTCTGTGTGTTGCAAGTGTCGATGTTAAGTGTACTCAACTTTAGTAAAGCCATTTTTTGTTTTGCTATTCCTTTCTCTTGGCAAGTTAAAAAACATGTATTATTCTGAAATGTTGAATTTCTGTTGTGGAAACGCTTATTTGCGGTTTGTTTAACGAGCAATGCCGTACGTGAGTGAGTCAACCGACAATGTATAACATAACGCATACGCCATGGTGTACGGCGGTTTGCTGTAGCTGTAGCTGTTCAAATTGATGGTATTTTTTGTCTTATGTTTTTGTTATTGTTGCATACAGGAGCAGTACATACATACATATGTATGAGTATATGCTCTACTTTTGCTGGGCGAGCATTTGCGGTATTGCCTTAATCAGCGAACTTTATAAGCGACAGAGGGATATTTAATGATAGTACTTACAATATTTTTATGCGTCTATTTAGCGCTTGTAAAGTTTGTTTAGAGTAGTGCTGCAACACTTTTTATAGCTTTAAAGTGAGGTGCTTATAGATTTATGTACAAAGTTGAAATTATTAGTTGCTTGATATACATATGTATTTCTGAAATTGTTCATTAGTGAAATGCTTTCCGGTAAACGAAAATAAAGTACTATTTTTAGTTTGAAAGTTTAGCTTTTTATAAATAATTTATAAATGAAATTTAATTTTCTATCTTCAATTCAAACCGACATATAAACCTGTGGGAGTTTCTAAATCCAACTATTTAATAGCAAAGGATGAGCAAGCTACGTTAATCAGTTTTAATTTGTTGACCACTTAAGCTCGTAAATTTTGACGAAAATAGAAAAAAATACCTATTCTTGAGCTAAACTAGGATTACTCGAAATACATTTTGTATGTTTGTACATATGTACATACATAGAAAAAATATTTTGAATAATCATACAAAAAATTTTAATTTATTTCAATTCAATTTATTTTCACTTTTTTTGAATATTGTAATGTCGACACATATATCAGAAGAGGTATTCACTCAAATTAAAAAAAAAAAAATGTATAAGCGCTGACATACATATATTGCAGCCCATGAGAAATAGGCCGTCTCCATTGGAAATATATTTTGTGACATGGTTATCACGACATCAGTGTTTTGCTGTGGAGACAGGGCCTAAGCGAGAGAATGTAAAAATGATTTCCCACTGCATTACCTGTAATGCAGTGAGTAAACGAGAGAGTGAAAAGTTTTGTCTTGAGGCGAATTGTAATGTGTTACTCCATCGCTACAAATAGTAAGCGCTTACCAAAAACAGAAAAGTTTTTGCTGGTTATGTACTTATGAACATATTTAAGTTTAAATTTTGGCAGGGGGTATTCTTCGTAGTTTGACCGCATAATAATTTAAAATGCGTAGACGTTAAGTATCTAAGTGCTAAAAAGCTTGTCAATAGCAATTACTGAATGGCTGAATGAGTGCAATTAGTCTTCCTGCATAAACATATATATGTACGAGGATTATAATTAGTTAAAATTTTATATATGTATATTCCTCTGAGTGGCTGCAAATCACCAAAAATTTAAAAATTTGTTGTCTTTACCTTCTGCCTGTCTCAAGTGATGAGAAGCAAAATTTATTGTAAATTACTGTTATATGGCTTTTAGATGAATTTACAGCAAAGAAAATGGGGTTTCTTAAGGTTATCATCATGGCCTTCAATAAATCGCACTTACATTACGGCCTATGCAGTTTCAGAATTTTTGTATAGAATTCAGAAAGTTTTGTAAAAAATTACAAACGATTTTTTTTATTAAAATAACAGACTAGTAAGACTTTCATTTACAATGCTTAGTCTCAAATAAAATGAAAACCTCAAGGGAACTAGGTACTTGATACGTGCTTGTGAAGGTGAGCAATAATGTGGGAATGCATTTTTATTGGAGGCATCTATTTACTACTTATGTACACACATAAACTCATAGATATATTCAAGTTATTTGAGCTTAGATTATACAGTTATTATTGACTTCTAAAAGGTTGTTTAATCAGTACGCCAAACACTTATTTAGTACTACATAAGTGCACAATAATTTCCATATAAGTAAATCTTACCTGTTTTCGAAATAATATTGCTCGATACATTGGTGCGCCCTGATGTCCGGACTCTTGTGACACAACCGAAAGAAAGTAAGGATTTTTCTCTGCATCCATGCCGACATAGTTTTGATGTACTGCAAGCAAACCAACAAAAACAAAAACAAAAACAAGATATAATATGAAAGTTAAGTTTGCGAAAAATTCAAAGTTGAATGGTTAAAAGCTGGCGCACACGCAAGAGTTGAATGGCTAAGCGGTTGAATTGGACGAAAGTTATGTACGTAGTTGCTTGCTTGCTAGTCTCTGCGAACCTTTTGTCTGGCGATTGGCATTGTTGGCACGCACACACACGCAAACTTAAATTGCACACAGAGCATTTGATTGAATAGGAAATGAAAGGAGCAGCAGCACGTATTCACAACAACGAAAAAAGGTAAAGAAAGGACAAGCCAAATGAAATGGGGTAAATATCAATTTCGAAATATTGACAATAAGGTAGACCACAGCTGGTAGGTAAGTAGGAACGTAGCCTGAAGAAGGAAAAAAGTATCCAAACTTGCGCTTAGGTGGAAATGTTTTAGAAATGTGTAGTAGAGAGCGGCGTACGTGTTAAGCTCATACTCTTAAAAATTTCAAAGGAAAAGCTATAGAATTAACATAAATGTGGCCATATAGAAGAAGATTATACTTAAAACTCACACAAATATCTTTTTTTATTATCTTTTTAATCCTATAACTGCCATTTTAACACAGAGCATATCTTAACCCTGCTTTGATCACCCACGTCCCGAGATGTATGTTTTTTTTTTGAATGTAGCACTCTCTTTCGGGAAATGAAATCAGTGGATTTTTCCTTTTTATTAAGAAAATTTCTAAGTATAATCCAGTTAAGTTATAAACAAGCATGTAAGGGTAAAGAATCCAAATTTGGAAGAAAAAAATTTCATAGAATTGCCATTATAGTAAAATTAACGCAAGCAAAACATTGTATTTATCAAAACGGGGTGAAGCTAAGAAAAAATAGTCTAAAAAGGAAGGATATATTTAGGGGATTCACGAGACATCGTAAGCGTCGTAATGTCTTTAGTTCGTAAAATTTTTCTATGTAAAATAACAGTTCAAATATTTTTTAAGTTATTATTAGTTTTTATTTTACCCTACGAGTCCCCTAAGAGCATTTTAACCTCTATTTAAAATTGAAAATTTGTACTTCTCATGTAAATTCTAATCCTTCACCTTCCTTCTAATGCGCTACCACTCCGCATGGCTTGGGTGTAAGCCCTGGTCAAAGCAAAAATGTGACTATAAATAACAATTAGGTCAAAGGTGCAGAGATGGTATTCTGAGGGGTAGTAGCCGAGAGCTTTAGCTTTAATTTAAGCTTAAGTGGAAGGTTCTGTCACCATTTGTTTTTTTTTCTACAGCTTCTGAAATATTGCGAAAATCCTATTTTTTGACACTTTGACCTCGTTTTTGTCAAAATATTGAGCTAATGGAAACTTTATACACTAAAATTAATGTTGCCCTGTGTAATTCATTGTTTTCAATAACTAAATATATTTCTTCAATAAAGTGTGTGCTTGCTGTCAGATACACTAAACAAGAGATGCAGTTGGTTTCTTCTGGTTCTTTTTTTAAAATTACAAGAATTTTCTCTTAAAATCTAACCCGTGTGATTGAGAAAAATTCGTAAAATATATTTGATGCTATATTATCATTAAATTTTTAATTATTAAAGTAAGTTATTGAAGTAATATAAATTTACACACACATACATACATCGCATTAAAGCCAACGAGCGTTGTCATTGTTTGTTGTAAGCACTTGTTGGTTGGTGTGGCTGTTTGCTATGTCCTAGTCTACTGCGTGCGAAATGGTAAAATTGTATAGATAAAATAACGAAGTCTGCAATAAAAAGTGGGCTGAAAGAAAACTGTTGCTTTCTTTGTATGCCACCAAGCCGCCAATCGCTTTGAATTTAAAATTAAATTGCGGTTGAGCACCTTAAGTGAATTTAAACCATTACCAGGGAATTTCTTATACTACACTACATTCATTTAATTCCAACGCATACATACATACATACATACATAGGTATGTAGCTCATTCGACGTTGTACTTTGCAGAGAATTTCTTTCTTTAATTTCCCCTCTGATTATTTTTGTGTATTGTTTGGCTGTCAATCAGCAAGCGATGTCTGCTTGTATTTTTATTTTTTTTTTTTTGATCTCACAATAATGATGATTGAATGTCAATAAGCGAATGGGCGCGCGTACGAGCACAAATGTGGCCATCATGAAAGTGCTAAACATGTGATGAAGAATTTTTCCCTTTTTTTNAGCGCGTTTGATGCTCAGGATTCTCCAATATGGGTGTGCTGGGCGAGCCAAAGACCTGCGAAAATTGAACGGAAGTTATATAAACACGTATTTGGCTGTAATAGGTTGAGTACAATAATAAGCGCTTGCTAAATGTCAAGTCCAAAAGGTATAATCAATCAAAATGTAAAAATACATTGTTGTTGAGTGTGTATACCCTTGTAGAAATGTACGTATATATGTAAGTATATTTTTTTTATCCGTATAGTGAGTATTTGTTGATTTGTATTCAAATTAACATTCACTTACTAACCGTGAACTTGTTGCAATTGACATGAAAAGAAATCATTTAGTTGCTTACATACATGCATACATAAATGGTGACGTAAAGACTAACAGCATTTAAATGAAAAAAGAATTTTTTTGGTTTCTGTCAATTTCCATATAAAGTTCAAAATATTAAAAAATGTTTTTTTTTTTTTTGAAAATGCAGATTTGACCGTGACTGCGCTCGGCTGTTGTTACCTCGTCTTAGTCTGTAGAAAACTTTTTTTATGTTAATTGTTGGCCGGTTAAGACCATTGTCAAGGTTACTAGGTTAGGTAAGTTGTAGCTTGGTGGGACTAGGTAGCTGTCAATTTATGATCATTAAGATTTCAGCGCCATTCATACTGAATACTAGAATTTTGGGTACTTTAAAAGCAAACTGAGTAGAAGTATTCTTCCGGTTCTTCGATTGCCGCCCTGAGGTTAATTTTTTGAGAGTTAGTAAGCCATTTTGTAAACATTAAAAATTCTGTTTATAAGCTTAAAGAACACGTATATACATACATATTGTTAAACTACAGCATTAGCTTGAAATGCGAATTCTAGGAAGACTGAAAGTTTTGCACTCACACTTGCGAAGGAAGTTAGAGAGATGGGTATCATCTTGGACCAGTGTTGCCATAAGTGAAGATTTGTCTTCAAAATTACGACTTTTTGAGCTATTTGAGTTTTCAAAGAAAAGCTTTATGTCCAAGATTTAAGATTTTTAAAGTTTAAACCTAAAATAAACTTTTAGTTTAATATGATATAAAACAGACCCTTATAACTTGCAATTGAGAACACAGGCCAACAAAAATGGAAAAAAAATTTGTTTTTGATATACTTTGATGTGCTGATTACGAATTCGTAATTATCAGGTCAAGCTGCAGGGATGGTATTTTCAGGGATAGTGGTCGATAATTTAGCTTTAATTTAAGCCTAAGTGGAAGGTTATCTCGCCTTTTGTATCTCTGTTGGAGCTTCTCAAATATTGCAAAAAACGCGACTCTTTGATAATTTGATCTCGTTTTTCTCAAAATCAGGAGCCGATGAAAACTTTTTACTTAATCAGCTCCAAAAATTTTATCCAAAACAGGTTGAACATTTGCCGCACCAAAATTAGTGTTGCCCTGTGTTAATTTAAAAGTCAATATTGAATTATGTGCTCCTTTGAAGATATTTTAAAATAAATATTTTTCCGATCGAAAGATTTTTTAACTTTAAAACATGAAGGCGAACCCCCATAATAGGTATGTGTATCCGTCTGCGTGCGTTTGATATTTACGCTTAGAAGTCGATTTTCATACAAAATGCTTACATTTTCATGAGTTGCTGTGCAGGTGCTACCATAAAAATTTGTAGATTAAATTTTTCTGTCAAACGCACGCATACAAACACATGTTTACGCATACTAACGAAAGAGAGTTCAAAAAAATGTTATGTCCCACCAAACAATTTTTGTTGCCGGAAATAAGAAAACTTTTCGCCCTCAGCAACAAATTTATTGCCGGCAATATCGCCATCGTATCAATTTCTTATTACCAGTCGCTCTAAAACTTCCGCCGCATGCAACTCGCCTAGGCGAGTCGTTTTCTTATTACCTGAATGAGTCGTTTTATTATTGCTACAGGCGATATTTGAATAATAACTTCTTGCAAAAATTTTACTCTTTCTTAATATTTCATTTGTTTTTGAACACAAACTTATAATTTGTAAACGAAATTAACTATGTTCGTCGCTACGGAGCTTCCTATTTTTTCAACCCTGTCTTGGGCATAAATTATATGTTTTTGAAGAATCTTTTTTTGACGCGAAGTTCATCAGTTAGGGTATTTTTGAAAACACATTCCTAAAATGACATGATAGTAATAATTTTGCCGATTTCTCACTACGGCAATAAATCGGGGAGTTGCCAATTTGTTGCCATTGACGATTGTTGCCTATTTCTCATGTTTTGCATGGTGGGGTATGGGAGGAATTGTAATAATTCAAGTTCAAAATCGCTGGATTTATTTTTTTGAGAAGTAATAAATTTAAATTGGGATGTAATAAAAATATAATTCTTGGTCCGATATAAAAAAGTAGCTTTGACTTTGGCAAAGTATAGTATTTGATAATTTTCAACAATTTGAGTTTATTTATTACTGAAAAAATAGTCAGGCAGGTTCCGAAATTACTTAAACAAAATTAGTGTAGCTCTTTTTTTAAAGAGAATCTTAGAATCTTCGCCACCAAACCCAAAACGGTACCACAAAGAAACCTTTGGTCTTTAGTAGACACACAGTACTTTTATTTCCTAACGAAAAAGTGCAAAATCATGTTTTTCTATATTATTTGTTATTAAATGACATTTGCACCTTTCTCATACTGCACTGCATATAACGGGTGATTTTTTTGAGGTTAGGATTTTCATGCATTAG